GAGCATGGGGTTTACCCCTGCTCCCCAAAGCCACAAAGAACATTTAAAAAGCCAGTAAAGTTTCTTAATTTTTTTTTTTTTTTAAAAAAAAAAGGTCTACACTGCTGTACATATACACATTACTTACATTACAAAATCCCAGAGAAACACCTGCTGCGTCAGCTATGCTCTCGCTCATTTCCTCTCCCTTGGAAGCAGCTCCCTTTGGGTCAAACACCACAGATCTGTGAGCAATTAAATAACGGCTACAGACACTTTGCAGGCTTGTCTGACCTCACGCTCCGAGCCCGCACCTGAAGCGGTGACAGTATGGAGCAGGGCTCTGTCTGCCACTCGTGCAGCTCTATCGAATCCTATGAAATTAACTCACATGTGACTTTGTTCTGCTCCGATTTTTAAGGATTAACAAAAATAGGTCTTTTGCTCTGTCGTATAAAGAGCTCGGACAATCTGCCCAGCGTAGAAAGCAGCTACCACCTGGCATCATCTGGTTAATATACAAAAACGATACCAGTCAAGGTGGGGAGAGAGAAGGAAAAGATCTGGCAATACATTAAAAATAGAATACAAGGGCTCACAAGTTCTCCAGCACAGGTTTGCTTGCAAGGGCACACTCGTTACAAACGTATTCATGCCGCCAGAAGTCCAGAACACGCCGTGGGCCGCAGCACAGAAATCCAGCGCCTCCTTGGGAGATGGCAACTGGTCCTGTAAGAGCAGCGAGTCTGCGCTGGAGGTTTCTCACCTTCGGGAATGAGTGTCCATTTAACTTCCGCACAGGAGCAGGGGAAGAACGAGTTTCATCTCTGCATGAAGTTTTTTTCCAAGGCAGCGGGAGTTCTCTGAAGGGAGTGGATGTTGCGTTTCACCCGATCTTCGAGGGTGGAAGTAGATGCGCTCTCTAGTTTTAAACGACTGCAGAAAATTGAACCAAAGACAGATATTAGAATCTCTTTCCAAACATTACACCGTTTCTAGCAAGCCATCTACCTGAATCAATCTAACACAGAAAACAGCAAATTATTAAAGTCTGCACTGAAAGAACTGAATACCTTTTAGTTTGGCTTGCAATAGATTCGTGCCTTATTTAAGGTCAGTGCTCAGAAATATATTTTCAGTAGCGCTCAAGCCTCCTCCGTCTTCCAAATATAACTAACTGTTAATTACAAATGCATCCGTCACAGGGGACTTGGTTGCTTTCTGCGAAGCAAACGAGGGAAAAGCAATGTGTTCCTGAACTGAGGGCCCTCTGGGAGCCCGAATGCCAGAGCTCACGCTGTAAAAGACTACGGCAGCTCCAGGAGAGAGAAGGGATCCTTGTGACCACTTGCTTTCTTTTATCTTTTTCAGATGGCGCTGCTGTGTTTTTTTGAATGATCTTCTCGTGCTCATCTCTTCAAACAACAAACATACCAATAAACACAAAGTTTGTTAGCTCAACCGGTTGCTTCTGCACAGGGAAACACACAAAAATCTCACTCCACAAGAGATTTTGCTCATGGAGAAAAACGATTGTGATCCCAGCTCTGGGCAGCTTTGGGAATTGAGCATATATGTTTCTCCTCCAATTAATTTCTAGAGCCTGGAGAATACTCTGCTGCAGCAACTCCAAAATACGTAACGCTGCCATAGGGTCTTTCTTACACACCACTGCACTTTCTGGAAGGCCTTGTGCTACTCCAATTCCCTTTGCCTTCCATGTGCACAAGGGACTGCAAGTTACCACCTACGTTTAGAAATGGTTTTATTTCTTGTCGAGCACAGGTTTCAGTCCCACAAGCTCTTGGCACACAGACTCCCAGTGGACTTGCAGGACTAGAACTGTTGTAAGCTCCCAAAAAGAGAACTTTTTAATACCTGCATGTAAAACACTACTAGGTATTTCCTACAGGATGGCAAAAAGTAACTGAGTTTCTGAGTCTGACTACCAAGGCCACATAGAAATAGCTATCTTTTGGGTCAAGAGGAGAATTTGGGAACAGTAGATGTCACTAGCTCTACTGTACAACGCAGCAGAGACAGATCTTGTACATCTCAAATGCTGAGGCCACAACTCACTCCTCAGAAGCTGTGCCCTTGTATTTTCCTTGCAAGAGCAGATAATAAAAAGACACTCACTTGAAGAACTTCCCATCTCGGGAGTCAAGTTTCTCCAGTTCTCGCTCCAGCTCCTCCTCTTTTCGGTGTTTCCTGAGGTTGTTTGCTCTCTCCTCTTCCCGCCACTTGGCATTTTCCATCATTTCCTGGCGTTTACGCTCCAGTTCCTCTGGAGAGATCTTTCTATTTGTGTAGAAAACACCACTGCTGTGAATCAATAGCATGCAGAGCCCCGCCCCCCTCTTGCTTTCCATTCTTTAAGATGATTTACAATGCCCCAAATTAGGGGTGTTTAGCATGGTTTCTTCTTTGGGAGCCAATCAGCAAAGCTTGTAAGCACATGTCTAAATGTTCTGCTTTGCCACACCCCTAGCGGAGGGTCTGTTTTCTCCCTCTTTTCAGCCTTCTTGTTTTTAATTGACTGGTAAGATGATGCTGTCAAGGTCGTATTTTCCTGATGACAGTGAAACAGAATGCATCTAATTAACAGTCTATGGGACAAAGACCAATTTCACGTTACTACCTTGCACAGCAATGCGAGACACACGGAGAACCAGCAACCGGGTGAATTGGTTTGGGAAGCTGTCCAAAGTGTTAACTAACAATCAAGCTTAAGAGCACCAAACTGAGCACTTTAGGACTCTCCGTCCAACTTCCAGGACATCCGATCCAATCTATTTTAGTTAATAGAATAAAATTTGCTTCACAGATTACACCCAACTGTCTCACAGTCACCAGGACAACTTCCAGCCAAAAGCACAGGGGCAAGGTCTTACTTACCTTGTGTAACCTGCAGTATGCTGTCGTCGATAGCTCTTTTTGGGGGAAGGGCTTCTAGCTCTCCCTTTCTCCTCCCGATTGCTATGTCTGTAACCCAGAAATACCCTTGTAAGGACAGATGAATAAACATTATCACACCTCTAAACTTTCTCTGGATTTTTTGTATACATTCTGAAACCAAGAGGTCTTCCATCATCAGCAAAACAATAAATACCTGGTACCTGATTCAACAATTATAAATACATTTTAAAGAGAATCAGTGGCCCAAATAAAGCAGAGTCACAAGCAATACCTAAAGGGTGTCCCTAGAAAGAGAGTGTCCCAAATGAAGAGTGCCATTGCAGACAGCATGTCCCCTCCAGGACAGAACCTGTGTGCTTCTGAACTCTTGCACAACTGCACAGCTCCTGCCTTTACACCCAGAACTGAGCTGTCAAGCACTGGAAGGGGCTGCCCAGGGAAGGGCTTGAGTCCCCATCCCTGGAGGGATTTAAAAGCCAGGCAGACACAGTGCTTAGGGACAGGGTTTAGTGGTGGGATGGCAGGGTAAGGGTAACGGTTGGGTTTGATAATCTTAAAGGGTTTTTCCAACCTAAATGATTCTGTGATTCTGTGAATATTGTGGCCAGAACACTGAAGTGGTAGGAGACTGAGTAACAGGGATTTTGATTCTAGAGAACTCCCCCACCAGCAGCCCTAGGTTTACACAATCCAGGTTAGCCACACTCACTGTTTACTGTGTCTAGAAGGAGATCTCGACCCCCTGCATCCAGATTGTTCTGAATTCTTCTTGCTAGAGCGTCTCTGAGGAGAGCGGGACTGGCTCCTGGACCGGGAGCGATGCCGGTGCTTGTGGGAGGCCCTCTCCTGGCCGGCAGCTGGAGAGCTCCGAGACCTGTGGCTCTGGTCAGAGTTTCTAACCTGGAATTCAGAAGTGTCTTTCAGATGAGGCGTCTTCTAAGAGCACAGCAACAACGTACGGCCACAGAGGAGACCTCAGGCTAGGCTAAGTGCAGGAAGGAGCGAACACTGTGGTTTGTGTTTGCTTAACCCACTTCCTAGGTTCTTATTAACACCTGTGTCTAAAAAGATTATTTTAGTATCGTGTTCAGTAAACTGAACTGCCAGGACAGTCAGGCAGAATATTTGAGCAGATGTGCGTAGAGAAACTGAATAAAACCTTACTTGAATTCAGAGCAGACAAAAGTCCTATAAGGATCTGAACAACTTAACTTTTGAGGTTTAGATGGCTCCAAATTGAATATGAACTTTATTATATCATGTCCCCCTCATAATCCTTTTCTAGCCGGGGAAGCAGTCTTGCAACAAGCTGCCAAAACTCCTGCTCTTCCCTAACTCAGGGCACTTGCTACTGAAAGAGCTGCACAAAACACATGTGCTTACTTGTAATCCATATCCTGGGACTTTGGAAGGAGCAGGTTTCCAGGATGAACTGTTTACCCTCTTCTGAGACCTAAAGAGAAAACAGAATAGTACTTTTGAAGCAGGTGAAATTCAAGAAAATGGTATTGTTCTTAACATTAAAATGTCATAAAAATAATTTAATGATGCAAAAACAACGAAGCAACATATAGAAACATTTAGGCAAATTAAGAGCATTCATTAGAAAGATAACACTGAGAGGAGGCTAGAAAAAGACATGAAAACCAACAAATGAACCAAGAAACATGGTATTTTTACTACAAAACCTCAAAACGTACTTATTTTTGCTTCGCTCCTCATCGCTGCTGTCACTTTCACTGCTAGAGCTGCGATGTCGATGTTTCTTGTGCTTCTTCTTCTTCTCTTTCTTTTTCTTTTTCTCCTTTTTATCTAAACTGTTTTGCAGCTATAAAGCAAGACGCCACTTCATTAGTAATAATTATTGTCTCTACACTGGTGCAATCAGTATCACGAGGCAAAGTAACAGAGTTCTCTGTGGAAAGGCTCCTGGAACAAAACCTAAACCATTTAGCAAGGTCCCCTCTCAAAACTAAAAAGCTTAATGGAGTCTCCTCTAGTGTCAATTTGGCATTAGTGCATGTCAAATCCTATGTCTGCAATCACTCCGTAATACTAAACAGTTAATCACTAGCTAAAAAAAAACAAAACACACCAGAAGAGCAAGAAA